CTAGAAGTGAATTGGTCCATAGTTCCCGATGTTACCTGACAACAATGGAAATACTGGATACGTCAATAGTTGGCTAAACCTTTCGAGTATGAAAAGTAATATGACTGACTTCACACCTGAGTAAGAGTGAATTATAAGATCAAAGCATACTACTTGAAGAAATGACCTATTCAGTAATCATAGCCTAAAGAAATCGTGCATCTCTAAAAGTGGACAGTCTTTGGTAAACTAAACATATCAAATGCAAACTCATACTGGAAAAACTAAATCAAACAAACCAGGAGTAACCCTGCCAATGTGAAAGAAAATTCCCCAAATAGTATAGTTTTGCTTTAGCCACTGACATATGGGAAAATTTATGTTGTAAAGTATATGCTTATAAAGTTTCAACTCATATTTAGTGGGGGAAACAATTTATTATACCAAAAAAGCATAAATGTATGACAGATGGTAACGCTTTTTTTCTGTTCTTGGCACGGTCCTTTTTTGGCTGGATGACTTTTGCTACTTAAAACTATGAACATTGTCATTCACACCTATTTTCTGAAATTAAACAGACCAATTCTATGATGAAACCCCTTATAAATTTAGTTACTGTATAATATCTTCCCATTTTGTATCATAAATTATCTAGAGTACCACTTTCCCTAGAATAATGGAAAAGGCCAAAACTGGGCAAAAAGCATTCTGTAATAAAACCTTTATTTTAAACTCCTTAAATCTATTTTGGAAAACTTTCTATATTTAATTGTACTCTAGTAGGACTTTACCAAGGAAACTATAAAAGATTATACTGGAAATACACTCTTCCATTCTGAAATATTTATTTTTAGCTTTTAAAATGTTCAATCCCTTTAAATCATTTTCAAAATTATAAATTATGTATATGGATAGCTAGGCGATGGATCTAGTTGGTTTATCTTCTGAAAAATAGGAACAATTTTTCCTAAGTATAGGTGATATAAGACTAGTATGTTGTATTACTTAAATATGCAAACCGTTTGTTTAAAGTAAGAAATTTATTTACTAGATAAAGGAGTGAAAGAATGTACTGTATATGCAGATGGAAAACAAGGTAAAGGGTGAGATCGAGATCTCACTTGATGCAGGGGTAGTGGGGAGGCAGGGATTAGATCTTCCCGTCCCTCACAGTGGCCAGCATTGTGTATTGCCTCCTTGAAAGTAACAAAGCTGTTCTCTCAGGCAGTTTCAGAAAGGCTGGCTGGTGTTAGATTTATTAACAGGTGACTCTCCGATGAAAATGATAAAAAATGTTAGGGTCGTTACGGTAACCCTGGCTGATATAGCAAACCCCAGTACTTCAGCTGCTTCAAGAAAACCATTTAATTCTCACCTACACAATAGTCCCAAGAAAATGCTTTTGGTGGGAGAAGCAGGATGATCCTCAGGGGAAGGGGAGACCTCTGTGTCGCAGAAATCATTCAGAGATTCAAGGTTTTCAAAGCCACCCCAATATCAAGAAAAAAGGGTATGAACAATGCTGGGAGACATTTTTCAAGGCGAGGCTTGGCTAGAACTGAGTCACATGTTCATATCTAAGAATAAGAAAGGCCAAAAAAATGTCTGACTCCCACATTAGGAGAAAAGAAAATGTTTGATGAACAACTGGACAGTTTTTGTCACAATAAATATTGCAAACATCTTATTGCTGCCAATATTGTGGTTGGACAGCTATCACTTGTAAAAAAAATGGCGAGTGACACTATCTCTGCAATTTTTAAATAACACTTAATTTCAGTTTTTTTCCTGCTTATTCCATTTTTTCCCTTTCTTATCTGCAACCTATTTTATTAATCATCTGCTAGTGATTTGTCAAAACTGATTGCAGGTAATGGTTTATTTTGAAGTGTGCATTCACATTCAAGAAGAAAGAGTATTAGTAATGTAGTGTGACATGCACAAACAGCTAAATTTTTTATAAAATATCCTGGAATACCAACAAACTTTTTACTACCTTTTATTAAAAAGACAGGACTTTTTTCCCCCCAGTTTAAAACTATGAGAAGAACTTGATCAAAATTTAGAATGATCTAATTAATGATTCGGTAGATTTTTTTTTTTTTTTTTTTTCTTTTTTGGTCTGGAAGAGATTCAACTTTATTTTCTAGCCATAATACAAAGAAAATTTTCATCTTACAAATGCTAAAACAATTTTGGTGAAGAACAAAATTTTGGAGAAAATGCTATGAAAAGTAATCAATAGCAGCCTAGGTGTTGTTATAGAGACTCTCCGGAAAATCCTTTTCTGGCAGATCTCTCTCCGGCATCACCATGCATCAGTTATTTTATTCTCATGACAAAAGAGGGCTTCCAGATATAAATTATCTAGCTTATGGTTAGGCTGCCATAGGATCTATCTATTCCCTCCCAAGAAGATGAACTGCATTTATTCCAGCAAGAAATAAAAACTTGTAATTTTCGGTGAAGTTTCTGTGAAAGATTGTTTCTAGAAACTGTTTTCCTTTAATGGTCCCTTGGTATCCACAGGGAATTGGTTCCAGGACCCCTCACATTCTCCGATAGAAAAATGTCTGATATTCAAGTCCCTTAATGATGTGTCTGGAGTCGGCATGAAGCCGCGGACCTTTGCGGTATTACAGCTCTTAAAGATGGCAGGGACCTTGGCGGGGCACGGTGGCTCACGCCTGTAATCCCAGCACTTTGGGAAGCTGAAGCGGGCGGATCACCAGGTGAAGAGATCCAGCCCATCCTGGCTAACATAGTGAAATTTCATCTCTACTAAAAATACAAAAATTAGACTAGTGTGGTGGCTGGCGCCTGTAGTCCCAGCTACTCCAGAGGCTGAAGAAGGACACTGGCCTGAACCCAGTCTGCCTCTGCTGGGAGGCAGAGCTTGCAGTGAGCTGAGATCCACCACTGCATTCTAGCCTGGGTGACAGAGTGAGACTCCATCTCAAAAAAAGAAAAAAAAAAAAGAAAATGATGGCAGGGACCCAAAGAGGGAGTGGTAGCAAGGTTTGTTTGAAGGTTTGAAGAGGAAAGAACAAAGCTTCCACAGCATTGAAGGGGACCCAGCACGTTGCTACTGTTGGTTGGTGGTGGACAGCTTTTATTCCCTTATTGTCCCCGCCCATGTTCCATTTTTGTCCTATCAGAGTGCCCTTTTTTCAAGCCTCCCTGTGATTGGCTACTTTTAGGATCCTGCTGATTGGTGTGTTTTACAGAGCACTGATTGGTGCATTTTACAATCCTCTTACTAGCTACAGAGTGCTGATTGGTGCTTTTTTACAGAGCGCTGATTGGTGCATTTTACAATCCCCTTACTAGCTACAGAGAGCTGATTGGTGCATTTTACAATCCTAGCTACAGAGTGCTGACTGGTGCATTTTACAATCCTCTTGTAAGACAGAAAAGTTCTCCAAGTCCCCACTGGACCCAGGAAGTCCAGCTGGCTTCACCTCTCAATAAAATGGCCTGGTATTTGCATATAACCTATGCACATCCTCTCCTACACATTAAATCATATCTAGATTATTTATAATATCTAATATTATGTAAATGCTATACAATAGTTGTTGTGCTGTATTTTTCTTTATTTGTATATTTATTTATGTTTTAATATTTTGGATCCAAAGTTGGTTAAATCCAGGGATGAAGAACTGTGATGATGGTAGGGCTGACTGTATCTGTATTAAAGAATTAGGGTGTAAACATAAACTTCCTTTCATGGTCCAAATTGTGAACAAAAGTTGAAGTGTCATCATTAAAACTGCCCCCCAAATGAAAAAGGATGCTAGTGGCTGGATATCACTATCCCCCTTCCCTCAATTTAGTCCTCAAAGTAATTAAAAGGGTTAGCAATTAAAAGGTTTAGAACATCCCCCTGTGGAAGGTTACCCATTCATCAGGTTGTGCCCAGTGAAATTATGTTTCTGGCTTGCATCACCTGACTCATCTGGGCCATTGGGATAACTGAAGCATCTTACCTCTAGGCAAAGTGCAGGGTCTTAATGGCTACTTAAGCCCTGGTCACTTCTGAATTTTATATGACTAAGGAGACAGCAAGGCACCTTTGGTTGCGCTCTGCCCCAGGGTGTACTCAAATTTGTCTCACTTCAATAAAAAACAAAAGTAAATCTAGCTCCAGAAGGGGGTATCCCTCATTTTGGCAGGCCTAAAACAGTAGTAGACAGCAGTGTAGCAGTTATGCACACCAGATCTGTGACTCAGATAATCCTAGGATCTAATCTTGGCACCATCAATCAAACACTGTGGGAATTGGGATAAGGTGGTTGTGAGAATTAAATGAAATAATCTTGTATATAGCAATAACCAGTGCTCAAGAAACAATGGTTTTTATTACTATCATTATTTTGGGAAATTTGTCCAACCAGGATATTTTAGATATTGATGAGTGCAGGGTGGGAAAAAAAGGGGAAAAAAAAGAAATAGTCTACTTACCAATCAATAAAAGGCAGTTTAAAGGGCTGGAGCTGTTTGGGCAGAGAGGTACATTAATCCCACCTGCAATTAGATAAGGGGTCTCCCGGAAAGGTGATTGGACTTGTTTACCAAGGCCCCAGAGGCGGGGGCTGAACTAAGACCAGAGCAAAGGGTAGAGGTTAAGGAGAGACAAACTTGCCTTCATATAAGGAAGCATTTGGGGCAGATTAGAGCGGTTGGAAAAAAAAAAAACGGCATGGGCTGCCTCCTGAAGGGGTCAGTGTTCCAATCTTGGTTACTCAGGATCGGAAGAAATCTTGGTGGAGGAGTCCTGGATGGGATTCCAGAGATTTTGAGTTTCTAGACAACGCCTCAGACCGTAGAAGAACTTAGCCCGACCTGCCGAGGCCAGCCTCGTCCTGCCCTTCTCCACTTGTGCAGTTTTCTTGCTGAAAAGTCCTAAAATTGGACCGGGGGACTGCGAAGCCCGCCCTCAAGCAGCCGCGCGCTCTGAAACTCCGTTGCTGTGGAGACGGAAGCGGTTGACCCAAGGATTCTGAACCGGGTTGGGGGAGGGGAGTCGACGTAGTCCAGGAACTGGGCGTAGCTTCGGTTACTGTGGTAGCGGGGACGCTTAGGCAGGGCCTGAGCCCAGTTTAGAGGCCAATGCTCCTCCCGTCCTTTGCATGGCACCCAAGAAAGAGAAAGGCGGGACTGTGAACACCAGTTCTAAGATATGGGAACCCTCGCTCATAGCTGCACAGTTCAATCAGGTGAGCCTTGAGCCCTTTAAGCCCTCCCTGCCCCCGGCAAAGCCAGAGGCCCGGCCAGACCCTCCTAGATGACGCCTTCAGGCTCGCCCTCTCATCCGTATCTCTCCATGGCCTGATGGTTCCAGGACCCAGGGTCCCAGGGACAGGGAGTGCTTGATAAACAAGCGGAACTTAAGGGAAGAAGGAAGGGAACACCCACCAGGTGAGTCAGTGTGATTACAAAGGTTGGTGAGAGCTGCGTGGTGGGGAAGAGAGGAGGTGTCGCTCTGACACCTTCAGACCCTTTTCAGTGAAGTCGTCCAGATGGCACTCCACAATTGTACTGGAGTTCCTTTTGTGGACTTTTCGTTTTCTCCTGACCCCTTCTAAAGGATGAGAATCGTATCAAATCATCTGTGGCCTGACCCATAATAGGGCTTTAATAAATGCTGAGTGAAAACAGACACGGAGTGCCTAGAATTACACTGTATTTAGTACAAGGGAGCCTTGTATAGATATAAAAGATGATTTTTTTTATGTAATGCCCCGATCCCACTATATTAAAGTTTTGACATATTTTGAAGGTGTAAGAGATCAGAGCAATGAGGGGTTGGCGGCCAGCTTACCCACAGGATGCCACAAAGGCACCAGGCAATTTACAAACCACCTGCCCCGGGACTTCAAAGTGCGTGAGATCCCAAAACTCACTGGATCCCCACCCAGCTTCAGTGAATGAGGAGCCCAATAGCTCTTGTCACCTGGGGCTGGAAATCCCCTTCTACATTAAGCCGTTTCTAAGTACAAGTTAGCATTTGAGAAGAGAAAGGTGGTTTCTGGAAATTCCAGCCCGCCATTGTGAACTACTTTAAAAAGTAGGGAAAATTTTTTTTTTCATTTTATGTATGTCTATATGGTGCACTAGAGAGTTAGTACTTAAAGGGAAAATTGATCTAAAGTCTTGTGTTGCCGTCATGAGAAATTTTTACCTATTTGTCTTTATTTTTCCACTATAACTGTTTATTTTCCTATTAACAGTAATTCTGTTTGATAAGGAAATTAGTCCTGATGAAGAATTTCATGCAAGTACTTATGATACTCCTGATGCTGATGTGATGTCATGGAATTCTGGGTCCTTTCTATAACTTTAGTAATGCCGGATGTCAACTCAGTAATCCCCAGTTACTTTCTCAAATTCTCAAAAATGTTTTTCAAAGCACTTTGTAAAAGCACCTTCTCTTTTGCTTTTATAAGTCAGCGCTAGCCAAAATAATTTTTTCTCCATTTTCTTTGAGATTGTGTAGGCCAAGTTTGGTCTTGGAGTGAACATTTCTGCTTGAATTATAAACTGCTGAACAACGGAGTTTGATGGAGGTGCTGACACTGCATTAGCTTTAGTGTTGCAAATATGAAGCTATAATTTTCCTAGTTGAATGGAAAACCTAAAGGCACTATTTGTCCTTATGGCTTGAAAACCTGAAATAATATTCAGCTTTCTTGATCCTACTCAAACAATATAAATTCAATAAATCTTATGTATTAATAGAAAGAATTTGAACTCAAAGTAATATGTAGTTTTAACTATAAAGAGTGAACTCAATTTTCTTCGGTTTGTTGGAATACACATTTTCTTATTGCAGGAAAAAGACAACTACCCTCCACCTCCTCTCACATTTTTCTCTGCTTGATTTCATGTCTGATCTAAAAGAATAATTCCCAGATTAACCCAGCAGTTCAATGCCCAGAGGCATGCCCTAACCACCAATGAAACGGACTCTGAATTTAGGTTATAGATGACTGAGGGTGTGTGAATTTTGAGCATGCGTAGTGTGCTCTATTATTTTAGTATCCAGAGAGTTTCTTTCTGTACACTTGTTACTCATGTCCAAGTATGTGTGATTGAGTGTGTGTGCTAGTGTGTGTGTTGTATTATGTGTGTGTGTTGGGGGTGAGAGAGAAGGAAGGAATTCCTCCAGTCTTCCATAAACCAGTTTTTAGAATGAACTCGTTGGATAATCCAAATCAATAGTATTTTTGAACTCATGTTCATGTTGGGTAGGCTTTAAAGAGAATAAACAAGTTCACAATTTGGTTTTATTGAATTTACCTTGTATCACTGTCTCAGGTTGTCCTTTCAGGCTGGAATAATTATCAACTGTTTTATACATTTTAGTTGGTTTTAAAATATAAAATGATAGCGAATAATACAAAGCATTCTATCACTAAGCACTAAATGATTAAATAGAGGCTAGAGGTTAGGAAGATGAATATGGGCTGGGATAGTCAGGAAATGATTTGTAAAATATTTGCCTTCACCTGGGCTCTAAATAATGGGTGGAATTTGAACAGGTAGAATGAAGGAGCATGATTATTTTATGTAGGGAGACTAATATGTGCACAAAGTAAATCTGACACATTTAGTTTGGGAGAAAAATGTACGTTAGACCACTTCTGGGTATACATTGCTCCTAAATTAATTCCATCAAGGAAATGGTCATTCACTATCTTTGCTATCCATATACCAAAATATTTAACTTATTGATATGAGTGAAATATCACATCTCAAATTATATAAAAAGAAAATAGGTACATTGGCAATACGATTATAAAAATACCCTTTTGTGTTAGTATGTATGTGACACAGACATTGTATTTATTATCCGTAGCAGCATTAAAGAGTCAAAGATGCCTTAGTATCATAGAGATTAAAATCTTTCCATGCAATGGTCAAAGCAAGCTCTGTTGGCCACAGTGAGAGGAAGAAGTGTTAACTTCAGCAGTCAGTACTATTTAAACAGTACTAATTCCCCATCCTTCCCTCTCCTCACCCCCTGGAAGCTGTCATTGTACTTTCTGTCTCTCCAAATTTGACTACTTTAGGTACTTCATGTAAGTGGAATCATATAGTATTTGTCTTTTTGTGACTCTTATTTTACTTAACATAATGTCCTCAGGGGGTTCATTCATATTGTAGCATGTATCAGAGTTTCCTTACTTTTTACATTTTATTTATTCATTCATTCATTGATGGACTCTTGGGTTGCTTTCACCTCTTGGCTGTGGGGTCTGTGTGGCCCAGGCTGGTCTCAAACTCCTGGACTCAAGCAGTCCTCTCACCTCGGACTCTCAAAGTGCTGGGATTACAGGATTAAGCCACTGTGCCCGGATTTAATTTTTTGAGGAACTACCATATTTTGCACAGTGGCTACATCATTTTGCATTCCCACCAACAATGTACAAGCGTTTCCGTTTCACTACATCTTTTTATTTTTTGTTTTATTTATTTATTTATTTTTGGTGAAGTTTGTTTTTGTTTGTTTATTGGTTTTATTTTTGATTTTTTAATAATAGCTGTCCTAACAGATATGAGGTGATATCTCACTGTGGTTTAGATGTTCATTTCTCTAATGATAAGTGATGTTGAGCATCTTCATTCTTTGTCTCTTATAACAACTTTTGACTTAAAGTCTTTTTTGTGTTATAGTTGCTTAACCTCCCCTGCTCTCTCTTGGTTACTATTAATATTTGCATGGAATATCTTTGTCTGTCCCTTCACTTTCAACCTATGCATATCCTTAGAGCTAAAGTGAATCTCTGCAGATAGCATATACTTGAATTCTGAGTAGTTTTGTTTGTTGTTTTTTAATCCATTCTGCCAGTCTGTTTTATTATTGTAGGGTTTAATACATTTACATTTAAAGTAATTACTGGTATGAAAAGACTTACTTTTGCCATTTTATTATTTGTTTTCTATATGCCTTACAGACTTTTTGTGTCCTTTGTTACCTCCATTAGTGCCTTTATTTGGTTGATTTTTTTTTGGTGACATGTTTAGAATGCCTTCTCATTTTCTTCTGTGTATGTTCTATAGATATTTTCTGTGTGGTTACCATGGAGATTACATATATCATAAAATTATAATAATCTGTCTTAAATTGATGCCAACTTACTATCAATTGCTTATATAAATTCACTTTACAGCTTCATCTTCTGCATGACTGATGATGTCACAGATTGTACCTTTATATACTATGTACCCATTAGCTTAGATTTATAATTAGTTTTATATATTTTTCTTTAACTCCTGTAGAAAATAAAGTGGATTTGCAAATCAAATTATAATAATACTTTTTAAAATAAATGTGTCCATGCATTTTTTTACCAAAGAAATTTATATTTTTATATAGCTTTCAGTTACTATGTAGCATCCTTCATTTCAACTTGAATAACTCCCTTTAAACTTTTTAAAATCAGTTTTATTTTTGTATTCATACGTAATAGAGGTACATATTTTAGAGGTACATGTGTTAATTTAATACAATCATATAGTTTGAAAAGATCAAATGACTATAAGTAGGATATTCATCACTTTAAATATTTGTCTTTTCTTTACACTAGAAACATTCCAATTATTCTCTTCTAGCTTTTTTGAAATATATGACAGATAATTGTAAATTATAGTCACTCTACTGATCTATTAAACACTAGGACTTATTTCTTCTATCAAACTCTGTATTTGTATCCATTAAGCAAACTATGCCCCCTCTTCACTACTTTTCCCAGTCTCTGATAATTGTTATTCTGCTCTTTATCTTCATGAGATCTACTTTTTTATTTCCCACAAAAGAGTGAGAACATAAGATATTCATCTTTCACTTATTTCACTTAGCATAATGAACTCCAGTTCCATCCTTGTTGCTACGAAGGACAAGATTTCATGTTGTATGGCTGAATAGTATTTCACCGTGCATATATACCGCATATATACAGTTTTCTTTATTGATTCATCTGTTGATGGGTGCTTAGATTGATTCTATACTTTGGCTATTGTGAATATTGCTGCAATAAACATGGAAGTGCAAATCTTTCTTTGATACATTGATATCCTTTATTTTGGCTATATACCAAGTAGCAGAACTGCTGGATTATATGATAGTTCTATCATTAGTTTTTTGAGGAATCCCCATGCAGTTTTCTATAATGTCTATACTAATTTACATTCTCATCAGTGGTATACAAAAGTT